GATGATTTCCTCTGTCTCAACAAAATCACAGGTAATACACACTGGAAACTGAACAGTAAGAAGAGACATTTAAAATACTAACTTAAATGAATTAGGATTTCTTTCTCAATAAATGACTGGAAAACACTCTAAAGTAGCCCTTGTCAACCCTGATTTTGTAAATGAGTTAAATCCTAATGCCATAAGGCGGCTACTGCACATAAAGAATTAATTTCTCTGCTAAGCATCTAAAAGAGATAGCTATATGCCATGATTTTCCATGGGGCTGAATTCTTTCACAGGACCCTATAGTTGAGAAAGTTGACTGAACTGAAAAGGTAGTTCACAGACATAAAACAAAAGCCCACTTATTTCCAACACAGTTCCTGTAAAAAATGGGAGATGCAACTGTGAAGAAAAAGGAACTATAACAGGGAAGCCCAGAGGGGAAGGGAAAGCAGATAGTGACCCCCAAGATTAACAGAGACCTGGCCACACCCACACCATTAGGGCTCAGAGCAGTGACTGCTCTCCAAGGCAATTACTGTCCGATCCCGCGGATCCCGCTGAAGCCCCTGAGGAGGAACAGCCAAGGGAGAAAGCCACAAAAGGAAAGGACCCTCCAGCTTGCACCCTCCATCAAGAGGATGTTAAGAGCTCAAGGGCATATGCTCTAGCCAACTCCCCACCCCTACTGTTTAATTTAGGGTGTATAGGCTCAGTGTGCACACTACCCACAACCCTTGTGGGTGTGGGTGTGAGCCACCACCATTCAAAACAAGAATGGGGAGCCTCAGCCCCACATCACGAGTGTGGCTAGTCCGCACAGAGAGGCTTATTCACGCCCACGTGGTAGCCGGCACAGGGGCAGAAACCAAGTGTAGTTGTGGGAAAGGAAAAAAAGAATCCCTGGAGCCAAAACCACAAAGCCAATTTCTGCTCAGCAAGACTGCTATTATTCATCCTCCAAGAGACCAAAGAGTAAGAAAATGTTCTAAGCCACACCTTGAAAAATCATGACAGAACAGCATGCCACAGCTTGATGGGAGCAGCACAAAGATCCTGAGTCACCCCACCTCGGGCTGAGCACTTCCCATACTCCTCTAGCAGTGAATTCTTAAAACCCCACTTTCTGTCATAAAACCTTCCTCACAAAAACCTCATAAACCATACACATTAAATATACACATTCATCCCGGACTTACCTCCTGCCATGTGTGTGCTTAATGTACTTGTCCCTACTCTCTTTCCACGTCCAATTCCAAGACTTGGAGACACAGACCGTGACTGACCCAGAAACTAACCACAAGTCTCACGAGGCTGCACTAATAAGCACTACTTACTGCGGACACCAGCTAGTTTGGAAGAGAAATTCATGGTAGGCCGTGTTTGTAAATGGCAGCCTCACATCTTAAGGCAATATTAATATCTACAAAGCCCCAAAACAAACCAAGACAAACCTGCTAGAAAGAAAAAGGGAGGGAGGACGAAGCACTACAGAAATCTCTAGTGTAGTTCTTTAAAAAGCAGCCTAATCTCCTACAGCTCATGCCTGAAATAGTCCCAGACTGCTCATAACACACGCCAAGGTCTAACACACACCTAGAGCATCACCTCCTGCAATCTGATTTCAAGCATCACTTTATATCACATCATATGTGGGAATGAGGCTTTTTTCTGCTTTTAAATAAAAGCAGAACATTATTATAAGCCTATTTCTATTTCAAAGTTGCCAAGACACTGAAGGCGTAGGAATTTCTTTTCCAGGGCACAGACTTGTATTGGGATTAATGGGTTCACCATGTACTCAGAATCCCTATCACATTTCTCTTTCAAGGCAGTCCTTAAGGGGAGACAAACACCTCAGTTCCTGCAGTATTCTGAGGGAGATTAGGAAACAGAACAAAACCTAGAAACAGGTGCTCCTGGACGGTACCCCCTCCGCCCCCCGCCGCCCCATTCCTACAGAGGAGGCACCTGCCAACAGTCAGAGAATGGCAAAGACTTCTAAGGAAAACATCATGTGTAAAAATGTAAAACTTATAATCTTTATCAAGTATTCTTGGTAATGCCAAAATTATGGGGTGGTTATCAAGGAGGCAGGCGATCCATGGGCAGATACCAATGCAGGCTTCCGGACCAGTGTCCAGCCTAGGTAGTAACTGGTCAAGGGGAGGGTCTCAGGAAAAGGAGGGCTGTCACCTGGAGGCCATGGGCTGTCGGCCCTGCCCCCACACCAGCGCCTTCCAAGAGCTGCTCAGGCACAGAACTGCAGAGGGGCCACAGGCCCCTTCTTTGCTGGGCTCAGCCTTGACTTTGGTGGAAAAGCAGCTGAGAGCAAAAACTTCCCAAAGTTCTGCACTGGTACTAAGGAAGGAAAAACTAGAGCAACAGTATTTCCTTTGCTGAATTTTGGGCACCAAACCAGTTGCATTAGAAATCACTTTAGGATTAAGATTCATAGAAGATGAGAGAGATTTCTAAGATATCTAATACTTTCAAAGCAGAAATTCACTTTAATATTCAGCCTCCGGAGCAAGGGGAGAGAGTGAACATAAATGTCCCATTAAGATCAGTGACTGAACTAGAACTGAACCCCCCGGACTCCCCAACTCCAAGACCCGAGGTTCTTTCCTCTACGCTACATGGACACATTTGACAACCCCACACAGTAAACGTCAGCCTGTCAGTTAAAAACGTCAACCACCCTGCATTTTGACCTTTTGTCCAATGGCTGTAACCTAGTTTATATGCCAAGTCACCTCCAAAACGAATTAGTATTTAAGGAGCAAAAGCGCACAGACAGATGCTCCCGGGAAGGAGACCCTGGGCTCCTCAAACACCAACACTTTATCCAAACATGATCACATTTCAAGCAACTTCCTTTGCCCTGATTCCTGCACCGCTGGGTAAAGAACAGAGTGCTAAAATCTATTATCTGTAGGCCGCTGAGTGCAAGTGAAAACCAAATCCTAAGACCCAGTCAGCTTGGGGTCTCCCTTAAATGGTATAATGAAACTCAACCGTTTCCCAGGGTTCGAACAGCGAAGATGGACTCCCACGGCCTTTTGTGGATGTGGAACTTGAAGAGAACTGTCTGAACTCAGAGATTAGCCATCCAACTGTTTATTTTGGGCTTCTTAATTGACTCGCTCCATTTCTTTGAAGGAAAAAAGGTCTTAAATTTATCCTTCAGTCTATAAAAAGAGCGAATAAAGACAATTCCAGAGCAGATCACAGTTCTCCAGCGGTGCCTGGTCTTGGCAGACAAGCTGCGGCATCTTGTCAGTCATAAAAACCCACCACTAGAAAGTCAATTTTCCGTAAGCTCTTTGCTCTTGGTAACATACTACAAAGTTGTGGAGAGCAAATGTAACAGGCATTAAATGCAAGCTCCCCTGCAAAATCAGGTAAATACAGCTACAGCAGTGTAATGTATTATTTGCGACTAGGAGCACTGTTCTCCACAGACATGAAACTACCCAAGGAAAAGCCTAAATTTCAACTTAAACATGATCAACAGCTTTATCAATAAAATGGCATGTTAGAAAACATTTATCAAATGATTTTCTCAAAGGCCTCCACTCCTATTGTACCGAGATGGTTCTATTGTGTAATATCACACAAATCTGGCCATACTGTAAAATTCAGATGTTAAATTAAAACAAGTTAGTCCTGGCCCTCCCTGGTGGCACAGCGGGTTAAAGCACAGCACTGAGAATCTAAAGCCGCTTCCGCATGAATTCGATTCCCGCCTGTCCCGGAGGTGA